CCAGCTGTGAGCGGTGGAGCCGGGACTGGAACCCGTGCTCTATCCACTACACCCCGCTGCCTCTCGTGGAGAAGAGGCAGGGTAGTGTAATGGAGAGAGCGCGGGCCGAGCGGCGGACTGGGCTTTCCTGCGTCACGGTGAAGTCCTAGGCTCCCAGGTGGCAGTGGCAGAGGCGGCAGGTCGGGCTCCCCATGCCTGGCCTTCCACTCGGTGGGCTGGGTGGGCAGCAGGCCCGAGAGGGTGTGTTGATGTTCCGGGTGACCTCATGCTGTTCATGCTCTGGCTCCAGGGGTGATGGAGGAGGGTGGGGTCCCACAGGGGGCCAAGCCACTGGGCCTCCTGGAGCCAGGCCCTGCTGCCTTTATGGACCGCCCTCACCCCTGCCCACTGGCCCCTGCCCTTTCGCTGCCATATTGACGGTGCCGAGTTGTTGGTTTTCCCATGGAATTTAGTATGAGATGCTTCAAACAGGCCATGCTGCTGGATGATAAAGTCGCAGGGTCCTCAGAGAAGAGCATGTGTATGGGCCTCAGTTTCCCCAAGCTGCAAATCAAGACAAGGCCAGAATTCTCTAGGGATCTGCGAATCTCCCAAAAGGCTGCAAAGTGACAAGCTGGGGGTATTTATTTCTCATAAAAAGGATTGTTGCTTCCGGAGAACTCCTGTGGCTGTTCATGACCCAGGAGGGTTAAAAATCACTGACCTTCTAGGAAAAGCAAAGGAGGCTGACAAGGTGGGACATCTAAACATCAGTGTTGAGCTTCCTGAATTGGTAGCTGTGCTGTGGTTACGCACAAGAATACCTCTTCTTGCGAGACACAGCTGAAGCAGGAAGGGGCTGAGGGCCATCCCATCTGCCTGGCGGTGGGGAGACTGAGGCCCCTGAGAGCAAAGGCGGGATGGCGGCTACAACAGCTGAATCAGAGGCGGGGGCATTCGGACGTTCAGTGCACTATTCTTGCAACTTTCCTGAAAGTTAGAAATTACCTTAGAATACAAAACTAAGAAAAGAAAAAAGGCTGAGGTCAGAGTTTGCACTCCAGGGCCCTCCCATATGTTGCTTGACCCACACAGGCTTTTAAGAAACTGGAATTTCTTGCCAACACTTAAACATTGGGAGATTGCATGTGAAAGTCTGAATTTCTGGTTTCCCTTGCAAAGTGGACATTGCAGCCGCCCTGGTGGCACGTCCGCAGCGGAAGCAGCTGAGCGCTTGGTTTGGTACCCAGCTCCCCCTGCCCGGCCCTGGGGATGTGTGGCCTGCGAGTCCTGCATGTTTCTCTCTGGCTAGGCTGAAGACACCGCAGACATGGGTCTGTGTCCGCCTGCCCGTCCTGGGGACAAGCTCTAGGCCTTTAGGATTTCCTCTGTTCCCCAAGCACTGGAGACATGAGTCTTTCTGAAGGCTCGTCTTCCCGTATTTGCCAGACTGGGAGACTGAGCTACTGAGGGGCAGAGATCACAGCGGGAGCCGATGCAGGGCAGGGACCCAGGGGTGCTACCTCCAAAGGCCGTGTTCGTTCCACACCACCCAGCATCTCACATCTGTGCCATTCGCAAAGGACAGACATATCCATCCATGCATGTGGTCCCCACAACAGCGCTGTGGGAGACTCGAACATGGAGGCTCAGAGAAGAAGGGACCTGTCCAGGGTCACAGGCCAGGCATGGCTGGGCCACCTAACCCAGAACCAAGTGTTCTTTGCCTACCTCCAAGCAGAGGCCGTGGGCCAGATGCCACGCAGGGGTTTCTGAACTACCATGAGGACCCCGCAGGTGCCCCCAGCCTGGTCCCTCTGTGCTTCCAGAGGGTCATCTGACTGGAAGGCCCAGTAAGGCCTCCGGTGCAGGGAAAGGGTCCTAGGTGTCTGGTCACATGCAGAAACGAGTGTCCACTGGCAGTGACGCAGCGTTCAGAGCACTGGGGAAGACAGCAATCGAGGGGGACCCCCTGGAGGAGGCAGGCTCATGCAGGCTGAAGGTGGGGAGGAGCTGGATCGTGGAGAGTTGGGTCCAGCCCGGAAAGGGGAAAGGGGACACATTCGAGATGAAGGGAGAGGGGAGAAATGGACACTTCAACCCATGAGCTGAGGTTACTCTCCCATTTTACAAGGGAGGAAATGGAGGCTCAGAAAGGATGAGAAGTTTGTCCAGGGTCTCCGAGCCAATGGAAGGCAGAGCTGGGATTTGAATCCAGGCCTATTTCCCTTCCAAGTCCAGGCTCCAACTGAAGAGCAGGGAGGGAACCAGCCTGTTGGGGGCATCCCTCTGGCAGCACTGTGCTAAGTAGGGGCCTCACCCACATCCTACACCAGGACATTGCTACTGTCCTCACAGGTAAACCAGGGCTCAGAGAAGTGAAGCGACTTGCTTGAGGCCACACAGCGCATTCATTCCAGAGCCCGGATCTGGCTCAGCCCAGCCCAACTCCCGCTTTTTCCATAACACAGTGCAGCCTCTCTCCTCACACTGACAGAAACAGCATCTGAGCCCTAAGATGTGCAGGGCCTGGGGTGGGGCTGGGCTGACCTCCCGACAGCCTCAGGCTCAGGCTCCCACCTCCTTGGACCAGCCAAGGATGGGAGGGGCCCATAAAAGTGAGACCTGTTAGATCTCTTTGCATGGCAGGACTAGGGATGGGTTTTGCCCTTTATTTTATTTGACATAGTTGGCACAGTGTACAACTCCATCAGCACGATGAGGCTGTGCCCGCATGGGCCAGGCATACTGATGTCACAGGCTAACATGGGGGTCAGTGTGGGGTTGCCAGCCAAAAGGCAGGGGTGGTCAGGGAAGACTTCATGGAGGAGGTGGGGCCTGAGTAAATGGGCAGGAGTTAAATGTGCATGAGGGAAAGAGAAGGCTGTCTGGGAGGAGGAATTGGCCTCAGCAGAGGCAGGGCAGAGGGAAGGAAACAGGTGGGTCTGCAGCAGAGGAACAAGGGGAGGATAGGTGTGGTGAACCTGTGACTCTCATGGCGGGGAGGGGCACTGAATGCAGTGTCCATTCAGTGCTTAGGCCTACTTGACAACGCCCCCACCCACAGCCTGTCCACCCTGCTCACATACAATCAGTGACGGGGAACTCACTCCCATACAGGCAGCTTCTTTTGTCCTAGATGGTTGACTGTTACAGAATTCTTCTCTTTCCAATTAGATTGCTTTCCATGGGGCTGACTATGCCCTTTTCTCACTATCTTTCCCTCAGGAGCCTGGGCTAAGCCACTGACCTCTGGAACCCTATGCAATTGTGTTTCTGAATGTTAGCACCACAGGTCATGGTCAAGTCACACTTTCTTCAGTCTAGTTCACCCTGCACTCACTCTGGCCATCTTTGTGGGTTCTGATTCTTGCTTTCTTATTGCCACCTTCCCTGGGCTTGTGGTCTCTGTGAACTCGATGGGCAAATTTTCCATACTGCAAAAGAACGGTGGTCCAGGGAAGGCTGCTAGGAACCTTCCACCAGATTGCCAGTAAGCCAAGAGTCAGCACAAACTTGCTGAAACCCCCTGGCCCCGGCACGTCTTTCTCCACTTTGTCCACAGAGACACCACGGGAGACCTCGGCCCCTGTGTCCTGACATCCAGAGGCCCAGGGTCCACTCCATTTGCCTAGGCTTCCAGCCAGATGCACGTGTCGAGACTAAAGCAGTTGGTTCGACTTGGGCTGGTCGGCTGACTTCCCATCCATCTCCATCCTGTCACTGTTTTCCAGGGTCTCCACACCTGTGGCCCATCTCCTTGGCTGGTTGGTGATGCCTTGGGTCAGTGATTCTGAACATTTTCTCTCCCCAGCCTTCTTCCAGGGAAATATCCCTTTTCTCCTTCTCCAAACTGTCTGGAAACTTCGTCCCTCATCTACTCAGGCCTAGCACCTTCCCTCAACTTCCGGTGATCCCGACGACCCACCTGATCACTTCTGAGCATGCTCGCCTTGCTGACAACCACTTCAGCCCAGAAGTCAGAACCAGGGCCACAGGGCAATGGCCATTTACTGAGCTCTCACATAAGCTCTAAGTTCCAAGAGAGCATTTGAGGCTTTCTATGATCACTCGGTCAGACCCCCAGGCCTTTGCACTTGCTGTCCCTCTGCTGGGAATGCTCGAGGACGTTTGCTGAGCACTGCTGGACAATAAGGCCTTTCTAATGTCCCTGTGTGTGTGTGTAGGGGGTGTATTTCCCTGGCTGGTGCCTTACCTCTGCAGGGTCTCCCCTCTTTTCTTGTCCCCTGCAGCAGTCAGACTAAGATCTTAAAAATGTAAACATGATCAGCTTACTGCTTAAAACCATTCCAGAGAATCCTCATCACACTCAGAAAATTCACAAACTCCTGACCATGGCACAAAAGTCCTGACATCTGACCCCTCCAATTTGCTCACAGTCCTGCCTCAGGGCCTTTGCACTTGCTATTCCCACTGCCTGGTGTACTCTTCCCCTGGAAAGTTGCAAGTCCATCTCCTTATCATTCACACCTCAGCTCACACATGGCCTCTCCCACCTCCCCAACCAACTACAGTACATTGCTCTCCTTTATTTTTGTCATTCAGCTATCAGCCTCTGGAATTTCACAACGTCTGTCTCTCCTCACTATACTATAATCCCCTCAAGGCTGGGGCCTCATTTGCCCTAGCCCCCAGCTCAGTGCCTGGCACACATAAGTGTTTAAAACAATTGTCACCTGACTGATTCTTTTTCGTTCCTAATGAGAACGGGCTTCATTGTTTGACCTCTCAGAAAATCAGCTCTTTAGAAGGTAACTTTCATGGGGGCAGGAATTATTGTCAATTTTATGCACTATGCGAGCCTGAGGGTCTGGAGCTGAGTGCACAGATGGCTCAATGTACATTTCCTGGGGAAAAGGGAAGGTGTTCTCGTCTGGGGCCAGAGGCAAGGACCAAAGTCTCAGAGCCCTTCCAGCCTCATGAAGGAGACATGGGCACCACCCTGGCATGGGGGCAGGATCCAGGAATGGGAGTGAGCCCACTGTTGGGCCGCAGCTCACCTGACAGCAGCATGGGGTCCTTGTCCACAGACTTGCGCACCTGGTCAGACTCCCCCGTCAGGGAGCTCTCATCAATCTTGAGGTCATTGCCCTGGATGAAGAGGCCATCAGCAGGGAGGAGGTCGCCTGGTGGGAGGAAGGGCGAGGGGTCAGTCGGCATGGCCTCAGGTGGCTGTAGAGGCTGGAACATTCCCTTCAAGACATGATTACAAGGGAAGGTTCGCCCTTGGGAACTGGCTGCCTAGAGCTCCCAGGGTGTAGGAACCGAGATGGCGCCCGTCATAGGCCAATAGGTCCCACAACCAACCTAGCTCGAGTGGGCATGTCCTTCAGTTTATAAAGTGCTTCTCTTGGCATGGCATGGATTTGGGGCCCAGTTTTCTCAGTGATTAATTCTTCTTGGGTCTCAACTATGGTTTGGGGAAATTCTTTTAGAAGGAACTCATCTGTCTTGACTAGACTGAGGAGACCCCAAGACAGGCATATTATCAGAGGAAACCAAGACCCCCTGCAGCTGAGTGAGGAGGGATCCTCTAAGCTTTCTCCCATTTTCTGCCTCTACTTACCTAGGGAATATCTCATCTAAACTCCCTTTGGCGCAAGCCTGCCCACTTTCTCCATGACAGCATCATGGGTCTAGAATGTCCGCTCACCCATGGCCACTCCCTCTAACACCTTCTCTAGCCCAATAACCATCTTTCAACAGCCAAATCAGAGATGGGAAATGGATTTCATCTCATAAATCCATTCTGAGTGTTAGTGGTCCTTAGAGTGCTGTGTTGAGAAGGCTACTGAGGATGCATCTAGGCTTTAAGCTGAGATTGATTAGTAATGTCTGCTATGGGTAGACATTTGGAGAGTGGAGGTACTCGTGCAACGTATTTGCCATTTCTGATTTAAATGGATTCTGGAATTCTACCTCCAGAAAGGAGCATTCTCCCTCTCCAAGGACCTCAGAAGACATCTTGGCTTGGGGTCAGACTTCAGGGACCGACTCCTTGCCTTGGGCCAGTCTTTCTGGGTCTGCCTGGCCCGCCCCACCTCTGCCCAGACTCCAGGTCTAGCATGTGGCTCTGTGGTTGGGACACTTACCATATTTGACCTGGGCGATGTCCCCAACCACGATCTCAGCCACAGGGATCTGGACAACCTGGCCAGCCCGGACCACGGTGAACTTCTGCTCCTGCTCGATGCGGCTCTGCAGGCCCCGGAACTGTTTCTCTTTGCTCCAGTCATTGAAGGCTGTGACCAGGACCACACAGATGACCGAGAGGAGGATGGCGGCCCCCTCGATCCAGCCCGCCTCCGCCTCCCCTTCATCCTCTGCCCCGCCCTGCGCCGTGGCACATCCTGTAGGGAGCAGAAGGAAAAGCAGGCGGGGTGGGTCAGCCAGGCGGAAGGGGCCTCGTGGCAATCAGTAGTGCACGTGCTTTCGGGTCTAAAATGCACTTTTGCTGATGTCCTTTCCTTCGTTCTTCCAGAAACTGCGAGGCAGGTCTCTAGGCTGGTTCGGGAGCCACAGCACTGGACCTGCCCTCCAGCAAGCAGGTCTGAATCCCATGTTGCTCCTCTACGATCCTGGGTAAGTCACTGCCCTCCCTGGGCTGCGGTGCCCTCATCTGCAGAGTGGGGGTCACCGAGAACTCCTTCTAGGCTCAAGAAGAGGAAAATAAAAGCCCCAGCCAGTGCTTAGCACACAAGAGGTTCTTACTCAGCCCTTGTTGGATTTGAGTGCCAACTACACAGTAAGGATGCTGACATACTGAGCCACTTGTCTGACCTACAGTGACCCTCCACCCCACACCCTCATACCACTGAACCTCAGGGTCTGGACTCCTACATTGCTTGAGGCCTGCCAGACCTACCATGTAAAAAAGAAAAAAGAGAAAGAAAGAAACACCAGACACATTTGATGCAAAGACTTCAGACTTTAAGGCAGTGCTGCCCACACAGTGGCTCTACACATTCTGTCGAGAGGTATTATCCCCATTAACAGGTGAGAAAACTGAGGCCCAGAGAGGTAAGAGCCACAGCTAGACTAGCAGAGGCCCTTTCTTCCACTGGGTGGGAGGTGGGGGAGTGGAAAATGACCTTCTCCATGAACAGCGACCATGAGCAGCGCCTGACCATCCACTCCCAGAAAAACTCTGAGTGGCCCCCTTCTACTGAGGCCGGGCAAGGGATTGGGCCATTTGCAAGGATCCTCAAGCTGGCTGAGAGAAGAGAAGCAGTTCAGAGAGGGATGGCAACTCACCCAAGGTCACACAGCAGATCTGGAGTTTGAATCCAGACCTGGAATCTGACACTGGACTGGCCTACCCACTGCCCCCCAGCCCAGTGGCCCCCTCTGCCACATGCTGGCCTCACTGGGAAAGTAGAAGATGTTGCCAAAGACTCATGGCTGACTGTCTAGAAGTCTAATTCAGGCCCAAGAAAGAGAGATCAGTAGTTTCAAGAATTCCCAGCAGGACCCTCTGGGAAACCAGGGGTCGAAATCAACATGACCAGAGGCCCAGTGGCACCAGAGAAGGTTTCCCAGCTCCCAGCTTCTGGGAAGGTCAAGGTTTCGCTGGTAGGCCCAAACTCAGGACAATATAGAGTCACTGTAGGTCGGTGACATGTGCCACTAGGAAGTTCTAATCTTTTGCTGAACCATCTTTCCCTGCGGCTAATAAACAAGTACACCACCATATGGGGTTCTCAAAGACACTTTTCTTTGGGAACTTTAGAGTTTTCCAATAATTTTAAAACTCTGGACCAGCCTTCAGTGGTGATGATAATCATGATCATGGTAATGATAAGTGACATTGGGCCAGCTTTGAGTTCAAATCCCCGCTGAGTGCCCGGAGCTACCTACTTAATCACTGTGCCCCGGTTTTCTCACAGGCAAAATGGGGAGAGTGACAGGTGCTTCCTCCTAGGTGCTTGAGAGGACTAGGGGAGCCTTTCTGTAAAGCAGCCATCACAGTGGGCACACAGCAAATACCCAGAGAAAGCTGCGGCTTCCTGGCCAGCGTGTGATGTCATTATTGCATCTGTGTTTCACAGGCAGCCTGAATGGAGCCTCGAGCCCCACGTTTCAGAGGGGGTCCTCTGAACTGGACTTCAGAACCACGTGAAGACAGGAGGAGGGGAACTAGGTGCCCCTTTGTACTGCAAATGACACCAGCGAAATCCACTAAACTGGGAAACACAGGCGAAATCCTTGCTAAACAGAAGCCCAGTACATGGAGATGCATTCTCTTGGACTTTAGGGGAGTGATTCAAGATACAGAGCCCAGTGCTTCACCTTACAGGACTTCTGTTAAACCGTGCCCCTGCTACATGCTCTCTTAGTGAGAATGTTGTTCTTTCCCTGTTGTGTGCTTCATCAGCGGGCACCCCATTAGTTCCTAGAACATTAAGGACATTTAGAGACAGCCTTGGACAATGGAAAGCCTGTGGGTTCTGGAATTGGAAGGACCTAGCTTCAAATTCAGGCTCTGCTGTGTGATTTTGGATAAGTGACTTGGCCTCTCTGAGCCTTGGTTTGGATAGCTATAAAGTGGGATGACTCTAGGGACTTTGTGAGCCCAGGGCTTAGTGAGGGCCTAGCCGATGGTGAGCACATGATAAACACTGGTCCTCTCCTCCTTTTCATGAGCTGCTCTCCTTGGACGGGCTTCTGGGAGCCAAGAGCATGGTAACTGAGTGGGTCTGCACCCTGTTCCCTTGATTCCCAGCCCTGCCTGCTGCCCTTGCTGATTCGATACCAAGGAATCCTCACTTGGCCAGCAAAAGCCCATTAGTTTTGATCTCCTTTTGAGAACTGTCTGATGATGACATGGTGCCTTGGAATGGCCAGAAGGTAGGAGTGCAGATTGCTTCAGCCACCAGGAACACTAGACCCTGACAACAACCCCTGCTGGGCTGGCGCAGTTAGGGGAAAGAGACGAGGAAAGGGAAGGAAGAGGAGTGTGGGGAGGCCCTGCTGAGGTCTCCTCTGGGGCCCCCTTACACTGGAGCAGGGACAGGATCTGCAGGTTGTGACCATAGGGCCTGGGGAAACTGCAGCTGCCCTCCCTGGACCCAGGATTTCTAGGGTGTGGCTGCTCACTCTATGTGTGACCTTGGAGAACCCACTTGGCCTCTCTGGGTTTCCCTCTACTTGCTCGTCAGTGAAATGGGGAAAACACTTTCTAAGTGGTTACCAGGGTCTGGCATCGAATAAGAACTTTCATAACTGGTCAAGCCACAAACGTTTTCTAAGCACCTACTGTGTGCCTGTCACTCTGTTGTCACTCTGGCATGTCTATGTGTCTGTCACTCTAGGGGAGCTGTCATGTGCAGGAAGTTGGGAGCACAGGGTATGCCAATCCCAGAGCTGCCACAAATGTGCTGTGTGACCTCCAAAAAGTGTCTAGAGGTCTCTGAGCCAAGAAAGCAAACAGGGAAGGACTATGTGTTCTGCAAGGCAGTCTGGCGCTTGTTAGTCCATCAGCATTGCTTTATACCTAAATGATGAAGTGAGTCTGACTTGGCAGGGGGTGGTCCTGGCAACATGGAAGGTAGAGAGCTCCGAGCCCAGGCCGAGGCCTGGGTGTTGGGGAGGAGTAAGTAGAATCACAAAGTGCAGGATCTTTACTCTCTGGGACTCGAGTGTGCATAGCTGCCCTCACCATCCCAAAGTGGGGCCTGAGCTAGTGTCGCAGCTGGAAGAAAGGAGGGACAGTGGAGAGAACCAGAAGACTTGGGTTTAACATCCAGCCCTAGTGCCTGCAAGCTGTGTGACCTTAGGCAAATCTTTCCCCTCTCTGGGCCTCAGTTCCCACCTCTCTAAGACAGAGATGATCCCAGGCATCTGTCTGCTGGGAGCCTGATCCGTGCTCCCACCACACGTCCTCTACCACCTGCCCTCTGAATTCTAATCTTGCACTAAGTTGGGTCACCTGAGGTTACTTATGCTGGTGGCAATGACTCAACCCAGTCCCTCTCTGAGGAAATGTAGCCTAGGGACAGGAGCGAGGCCTCGGACGCCAGAACACCTCGGTCTGAGTCATGGTTCTGCCGCTTCCTAGAGCCTGTCCCAGCAAGTCATTTACCATCACAGGGCCTCAGTTTCCTGGGTAGTAACAGTGCCTGCCCACAGGGCTGTTATGAGGGTCAAGTAAGGATCAAACGAACTTTTACGCTAAAAGCTCCCAGCTAGCGGTGGCTCTAAAAATAGTACGAATTACCCTTCTTATTATGCTTTTATGTTGTACCCTTAGCTTTGTTCAAGGCTTATGCAAGTAGCCATGTACCTCTTCTACATTTTCCATAAAACTTCTGCAAAGAAGGCTGCCTTCTATGTATCCCTTAAAACATCCTATGTCAAAGTTCATCCCAGAATTCACTGTCAGGGGACATGCTCTTCCTAAACAACTACCCTTCCTCCTTGTTGATAACTTGAGCTGTGCAAATCATCCTAATTCCCTTTCTGCCTTGGCTGCCAGGAAGTTCAAACTCAAACTTATATCTCAATCTTGGTGACAAATTTATTTGCTTCCATTCCTTTTCTGTCTGGCTTTCTGTTTGACCTCATCTTGTGAGATGGGTCTTCTGATGTCTTGAAACCCTCTTTGGAAAAAGGTCATGCAGATAAAAGAAATCAACTAGTAATATTATGTATAAAATCGAGGGAGTTGGCCTGATAGATGTGGTTATCCTGTTTCTCAGGAAACAGGCTTGGGACTGGGAGGGACAACAGCTGTTGAAGGAACCTCGGAGACTGCCTCCTCATTTGGGAAAATGAGTCCCTAAGGGTTATTTCTTACATGTTCTTCGCTTTTTATTTGCAGTGACCCTAGTAGGATTATGTATTTTTGCAGCACATTCATTAGGAAATGTCTAATTATCATTAATAAAAAGAAAAATGTTTTTAATATCCTACTAATGAAAATCAGATTATAAAAATCTAACAACAAAATGATGCATCTTATGTGATCCCACATGTCCCATGGTATGTGTGTGTATATATCTGCCTGCCATTCTGTCTGTCTGTCTGTCTATCTATCTACCTATCTATGTGTATATGTGTAAAATGATACAGGTTTAAGAGACTTTGTTGTCATAAAGGATCATCATTCATCATTGAGCTAGTGAAGCCCTAATGCTTGGCAGATGTTCGGTTTCTGGAATGAAAGGCTGAGTGGAGGCTGAGGTTTCCCATTAGGAAGAGTGGGTTTGCTCCAGAACCCTCCCTGGGTGAGTGGGACAGTCCTTCGTCCGCCCACATGGCAGAGTCCCCAGTCAGAACCCAGGACAGATTTCAGGGTCCGTCTTAGGGAAAGTGGATTCAGCATCAGCCCCGCAAGGGTGTGCCTTACACTGAACCAAGCCCGGGATGGGGACGTGAAAGGGGAAGGGAGGGGCAGGGGATGAGAGTCCTTCTCCCGCAAGGCATGATGGGTGAGATCCCAGGTAGGTACAGAGGAAAGGACACCCAGGGCGGCTGCACCCGTGGAGTTCAGCACCTCCAGGTGCCCTCTTTGTGCCGGACTGTCCATGTACCCCTTCATCACCTCCTCGTGATAACCCTCCAACGTGAGGTCCCTTGCCCTGTTTTGCAGATGAGTTTCTTGAGGCTCAGAGAAGGAAAGTGACTCGCTTAAGGGCACACAGCTGGGAAGCGACGGAGCCAGAATTCTAACCCAGGGAGGGGTGGACTCACTTCAGAAACTGTGTCTTCACTCACTTTATTGTCCTTCTACACTCAGAGAGAGGTGGGTAGCTGGGGAGGGGAGACATTTTTCTTGAGGCAAAACTTCCCTTCCTGGGGGGAGGATATAGCTGAGTGGTAGAGTGCACGCTTAGCATGCACGGGGTCCTGAGTCCAATCCTCAGTACTTCCGTTAAGATAAACAAATAAATAAACCTAATTACTATCTCCCGCCCCCCCCAAACAAACAAACAACTTCCCTTCCTGATCCTCTAGGACAGAGGCTGGCAAACCTTCTCTGTAAAAGGCCTGAAAGTGACTGTTTCAGGCTTTGTGGGTCTTGCTGTCTTTGGCACAGTGGCACAACCCTGCGACTGTGGTAGGAAAGCAGCCCCAGACAGCATGGAAAGAAATGGGGGTTTCCCAAAGAGACTGCATTTTTGGATGATGAAACACAAATTTTCATATAATGGTCACACATCACGAAATAATATTTTTCTGATTTTCTTTCAATTACTTAAAAATGTAAAAACCAGTCTTAGCTCACGGGCCATATAAAAACAGGAAGGGAGCCCGATTTGGCCGGTGGACCGAGGTTTGCAATCCCTGCTCTAGAATATCAGGTGCACCGAGCTCTGACGTCACCAGGGACTTTTTCATAGTTGCAGGCCTGGAGCAGTGAGTGACTTCGGGACCCTGAGGAGAAGCCCAGCGCTGGTGCTGAAACAGGGCCCCTCAGAGGCTGGAGCATCCAGAGGAACATGAGAGGGACCTCGGTGAACGGGGCTGATGTACTGTCAGGTCAGAGCATGGGTGCAGCCCGTGGGGGAGAGATTCGAGGGGTCTGTCCTCAGATGTGAGAGTGGGAAGCCCTCCGAGAGCAGCTTGGACAGAAGTTTGGGGTCACCCTCACCTGGGCTCCATCTGGCAGAACCAGAACCTCTGAGGAGGCAGGCCCGGGCAGCGATGTTTTTAACAAGCCCCACTGCAAAACCTGGGGACTCTTTCTTAGCTGGGTGACCTTGAGCATGTTAACGCACTTCTCTGTGCCTTAGTTTCCTCGTCTTTAAAATGGACATAATCACGGCCCCTACGTCATGGGGTTGTCAGGGGGATGGCACCTCAGCCCAGAGTTGGCACACTGTCAGTGCCCAGTAAACACTCTCTCTAATATGACCATTGTTGGCCCTATTCCTACATTTCACACATGGGAAAACCGGGGTCGGGTGCTCTCAGCCCAGGTCCGGCTCAGCCACCCGTTGGCTGTGGGTGACGCTCTGCCCCTTGGGCCTTAGTTTCCTCCCCTGGAGGGAGCCGTGGCCCAAGCCCCCAGCACACTCTGGTGTAGCCCGGCACGCACGTTGTAGGCCGGGGGTGGGGGTCCCAGGACCCCTGTCTTACCTTCATTGCTCTCGCCGGGCGGGTGGTAGAAGGAAAGCCCCAGGGAGATGATGGCCGCGATTTCTAGGATGATCAGCGTCACGTCTTGCAGCGCCTCCCACACGAGCTGCAGGAAGGTTTTTGGCTTCTTTGGAGGTATAAAATTTTGCCCAAAAATCTGCTTTCTCTTTTCCAGGTCTGGAGCAGTGCCTGGCAAACCTGTGGACAGAGGGCAGAGAGGTTGGACCGTGGGACCCAGGAGAGACACACAGGTTCTGGGAATCGTCCTAAGAGGGGCGGCCATATGGCGAAGGGTGGAGAGAAGAGAGGAGAGCGGGGAAAAAAAAAGCAGGAGACTGGCAGCCTCCAACCCAGAGCCTGGCACCCAGTGCTCACTTCAGCCCAGAGCATCTCCTGAACAGCACCACAGTGTGCTGGGGCTGGAGGACTGGAACATTCTGCTGTTACAGTCGTGGGGGCCGCACGGGCTAATATCACACCGTAGATAACCTATCACATCACAGGTTCTAGAAGTCCAGTAGTCTGTCATTCATTTGCTCATCCATCCATCCATCCATCCATTCATTCATTCAGCCTGTGTTTCTCCAGCCTCCACTGCGGGGCCCAGTGCAGGTACTGGGTACTGGGGAGAGTCCCGAGAAGGGAATGGAATAAGGAAGAACAAATCTGACTCCATATTAGATCTGTTTCTTTTACTTTCAGCTTTGTATTCTATTGCTTGAGTTAAGAATGCTGCTGACAGCCTGAAATATACAGGCGAGCCCGTTCTCAAGGCTCTCTGGCCTTTAAGCGTATATAACACCTTTCCATTCACATGGAGATGAAAGGTTGCAGAATAGAGAATAACATTTGCCTTACTGCAAGTTTACAGGAACATCAAGACCAGGCCTACGGACAGCTGCGAAAACAAAGCCTCAGCACATCCCCTCCAGGGTCTGATCTGCACCAAGGAGCTTGCAACAACCAGCCACCTCCTCTGCCCTCTTTGAGGATAAAAGAAACCTGAATTCTAACTCGAGGGCGATGGTTTTCTTTGGACTTTGGTCCTCCATCTTCTCAGTCTGCCAGCTTTCTGAATAAAGTCGTTATTCCTTGCCTCAACACCTCAACTCCTGATTTACTGGCCTGTTGTGAGGAGAGTGGAACGAGTTTGCACTCGGTAACCAGAAGAGCCTTGCGCTCATGGATGCAGGAGCTCAGTGGTCCTGGGAGTCCCGCAGTCTATGGTTCAGGGGTGCAGGGAGATGGGCATGCCCCTTGTCTGGGTTCTAGGTGCTGTGCCTCTTCTGATACTGACAGCGAGACGTACATCTATAGCATCCAGGAGCCAGACTGGGTGAGACCTTGTGGGAGAGCCTGAGGACGGCCCATTCCCAAGGAGACCCCACCCCCACCATGCCTGCCAGTGCGGGTAAGCACTGGAGATTTGGTGTCCTGCCTGTGCGGTGAGAGTGAGGAAGCCCGAGCTGGGTTATGCCCATTTCATAGATGGGGAGACCGAGGCCTTCAAAAGACCCAGCTCCTGGGACCTGAGAACCCAGGCCAGCCCTGTTCTAAGCACATGGAAATGTTGCCCCCACCCTCCTGGGCTGGGGTGGCATCTAGGATCTCCGTATACAGAGCAGGCAGGCATGACATAGTGTGATCCAGGGGCTGTGAGGAGGTTCTTCCTTTGTCCAATTCTACCCACAGCCCAAGTCTGAAGTTCTTCCATTTGGGATTCCTTCCTTTAACTAAAAGCTCCAATTCTTTTAGCTTCCCTGAGAGGGGGAAGCCATCATCAGTCCTGGACACCATAGTGTGAATGAGTTTCAGGTTTTTCCCTGGGAGTGAGTTTTGATGAAGGTAAGAAGGGAGAATTCAAGAGGGTGGTGGGCCTGTGAGGAGAGGGTGAGGCACAGTCACACTGGCCTGTTAGAGCAGTCTGCTGTACCTTGGCCAGCCAGTTCTTTTCTATGAACCTCAGTTTCCCCATCTTGACAACAGGAGAGTTCAATAGAATTAGTGGGCCCTGACCATCCCAAGGTTTTCAAGGGCCACAGGCCCCGAAGTGGTCCTGCTGGGTCTGTTCACATTCTGGGGCTCCTCATAAGGTCTGGAGTAAATAAAGCCTTCCCTAAGAAGAATCTTGGCGAGGATGGGGCCGGCCCACCTCCCAGGCCCCTCCTATTGAGTCAAAGAGAGGGGAGTCTCAGAATCTCCTGAGGGTCTGTGATTCGAACATTCTGGAATCTACAGTGCGACCAGTTGAAAATGTGGGTGTTCTCCAGGTCAGGGGGTCTGGTCATGGCTTAGGGGTTCTGTCTTCTGGGGATTCACAGGCTCAACATTGGGTCTTGGGACAGAGCACAGGGCAGAGGTTGCAAATCTGAATAGGTGCGGGCCAGGCAGGTTTTGTGAATGAGCAGGGTAGGTGAGTGGGAGGCAACAGGGAGTGGTGGGGACTGGGGCAAAGTGAAGAATCTCAGCCCTTCCCAAGGGGGCAGGTATTTCTCAGCTTCTGTGGGGGAATGTGGCCCAGTGTGGCATATTCTCCAGTTTTCTAAGAGAAGCTGGACATCTGGAGTTTGATGTAAAATTACTCCATTAAAAACATTCCAGGGCCAAATACAATATATCCATAAGCTGGATTTGGTCCTAGATGGCTAATTTGAGACCCCTGAGGCTATAGATTGGGAAAGGGGAAAGGGGCTGCAGGAATGAAGGATTAGAACAGAACAGCCTCTCTGTCCCTTCCTCCCCTCTCCTGAGCTGCTACCTGCCTAGCACCAGGCCCTGCCCTGCTCCCCACAGGCTTCTGTAAGCCACCCTCCCACCTTTTCCCCAGGAATAATAGCTCATAAAATAAAAATGCTTGTGTGTTTTGCAACAGTCAATCCCATGGTGGAAACTGCGAGGCAGTTTCACCACCAAAAACACCCCAGGATATAAACCCAAGATGGGAACCTCAGGCATAGGAATTCATGGGGCTGCTGAGACAGCAGATGGTGGCCGTGACGTCTTGCTCACCCAGAACTCAGGCAGCGCTTGGAGTCAGATGCCATGGGTTCAAATCCCAGCTCTGAGTGACTCTGGGTGAGTGATTTCATGGCTCAGTGCCTCAGTTTCCCCTTCTGTAAAACATGGGCCCACTTCACGGGCTGGGGCCGGCTGTCTCATATAAGGGTCACCAGGTCAGGATATTGGGTTATATCATCCAGTCTTAGGTGGTGGGGGTAATTAATCACGACCTCCTGGAGGAGGAAGACTTTGGACAAACGGGATTTCAACAGATGGAGAGGAGGGCAGTCAAGGTGAGGTCGGGCAGAACGGAAGGGCCGTGTGATTGCAGATCAGCTGCTTCTCTCTGGGTCTCAGTTTCCCCACATGTGACATGAAGGATGGGCCTGGCTGAAGGCCGGGGACCAGTGACCCTGATGCCTTATATCCAAAGACAGCAGTTTTGAAGACCTACAGGTGGGACAGCCCTCCTGGTCCAGCCCCACCTTCACGCCCTTCCCAGGAGTGGAAACTCATAGTCTGCTCGCCTTCTGGCTGAAAAAGAACATGCCTATTTTGGGAGCAGAAACAACCCAGGCTGGTGTGAGAGATAAATGGTGTCAGAGATTCAATTAAGATTAAAGGGCATCTCGCCATTTAGTAGATGAAAAATTAAAATACTGTGTCAAATATCACTGGACACAGCCAGCGAGGCCCTGAAAATTCAGAAACACACATGCCAGGGAATTGATGTCACATGCTGTATAGGGCTGCATGTTTTCAAATATGAGTTTCTTTTTGTACAAGAGGCAGAGAACCGAGCACTGGGCGAGGAGTCAAGGTTTGTGGATGAATTTGGACCGGTTGTTTCATCTCCTGGGAACTCAGTTTTCTCATCAATAAAATGGGAGCAAAATAACCCTGAGGCTGCAGTGAGCCTGGTGAGACATATCCAGAGCTCTCTATCAACTGCAGAGGCGAGATAAGTGGATCTTCACAGTGAAAACTACCCCAGCGCGTGGCCAAAGTCTACTGGAGTCAGAATTTGTGTTCTATTAATTATGTAAAAGGAGAGAGCCGCATGCAGAGTGCGGGGACTTTGGTTGCACAGGAATTATTTGTTGTCAGGTGTGGGCACATGCAGGTGTGTGGCATGAGGCTGTATGTCAGGTGGCGGCGGGGGGGAATCCATGTGCCGGAAGCCTGTCAGAGGCTAGGCAGAGCGGGCAGCTCACAACCACTGCTGGGATGTTTTTAGGAATTCACGATGTTCAAGACAAAACAATGAACAGGAGGAAGGATCTAAGCATGAGCCTTGCCTGAAGCTACTTCCCAGCTGGGACCTCAGGCAGGTGACTTCCCTGCTCTGGGCCTTAGTTTCCACGTGTGCAGCTTGGGGTTAATGATGGCGCCTGCCTCACAGCCCACTGTGCAGGGGACGCGCATGTAGGGTGCGTGGGCCGGTGTCTGCACGTGCTGGGGGCTTGATACGTTACTGAGCTACCCCCAGGGCATTAGCTCCTAACTTGGTTGTACTTCGTGCTCATCAGAAAGCTTCTTCCTGAAAGCCTTCCTTGATTTACTCAGTAAGAGCAATCCATCCTCTTCTCCTTCCCTGATAACATCTGTCATTCACTAACCCATTGATCAGACATCTCTTTGGTGCCAGGTTTTGGCCCTGGGTGGCTAGGTCAAACGTCGAGTGAGACCCACCCTTGGCTACCACTGTCTTCTGGACGCGGACTCCACCCTACCCTACAAGTGGCTGCTTGTGCCTGTGCACAGCAGGCCCTCAGGAAACCTCACCCCCTCACCTGCCTCACTGGGGACCAGGCGTGCTGTGGATGCTCAGGCCGCCCAGAGGCCCCTGAACATGTGGGTGGCCGTGTGTCACCTGTAAGAGCCACTTAGCAAACTTGGGCTCGACAACGCCTCTTTGGGAAAACCGCACGTGCTGTGGGCTTCCCTGTGATGCTGGCATGAATGTGCATGGCCACCGCCCTGGCTGGTTTCTCGGGAACACATGGATGCAGTGCCACTGTGCACATGTGGGCGTGGCACAGCATAGGGCCAGCCGCTTGTGAACACCCACAGACACTATGTCCCTCTAGCCACCGAGACACACATGGATATAAATTTCTGCACTAAGTCCCCTTTTTGTCTTTTTTCACCAAGTCTGGCTGAGTTACCACCCTATTTCCACTGTAGGAATTCTTAGA